GAGCCCCTTCCCAGGGCCGGTGGCCGCGCGGAAGCGCTCCCCAGCGCGCGGTGCCGCGGTGTTAGACAGTGGCCTCTTGCAGACGGGAGCTGTTATTGAAGCGAGCAGCCCACACCAAGCGGGAAAGGCAGAAAAGGAGGAGCTCAGATCGAGCGTGGGTTATGTCCGGGGTTAATTTCGTGGTTTGGTTTTGAATGGAAGGTGATTGTCCGAGTTGCCGGTTAGGATACAACACATGGAAACATGCAAGGTGGAGCCCGTTATTGCACCAGTAGCTACAACCTACAGAGAAATATGGGAGGGAAGGGAAAAAGACACCGTGAGAGTTAGTTTCCAGTTATTTAAAGCAAGCCCTTGAGAACTACGTGTTATAAAGGTTACACTAGAACTCAGTGCAGGGTTAGTGCCATGTTTCTCGGGGGGAGGTGAAGCATCTTCTGTGGGTTTGGAACCTGAGCCTCCTCCCAGGTGTGACCCAAGTGTAAGGCAGTTGAACAGCAGCTGAGTTGCTGCACTTTCATTTCACTGAACACTAATTCAGCTGCCAGTGCCAATAATTAATACTGACACTTCAGGTGCTTCTCCCTGTTAAAGGCTTTCAGCAAAGGGTAGTAACTTGTGTGAACCCCATGAACACGTGTGGGGTTTGTGTGGGTCAGTCCATCATCCAGGCAAAAATAATTTCAAAGGGAAACAGTGTCACATTCTCTGGTCCTTCCCTTCCTCGGCACCACATTACAAGGGAAATTCTAACCACTTTGGGGGCAGGATGGGCCCTTGCCAATACTCCTGGTAGTTCAAACATAAAGCAGGATAAATAATCTACTGAAGGAAGGAGGCGAATATGTTAAAGTAGGAAATTAACTGAAGCATTCAAGCTTAATTGCATAACTTCCTCGTAACTCAACAGCAGAACAGCCCGCTGTTACCCGCCCGTAGAGGTTTGCCAGCCCCCAGGAAGGCAAAGCACAGCACAGAAGTACCAGTTAGCAAATTCTGAGCAGCGTCAGTGTTCTTGCAGCAGCAAATACTCACTCAGCAGATTTCCAGAAGTGCCCTGGGTGGGAGAGCCGACGATTCAGTTTTGGCAGTTTTTCAAGCATATCCATGAGGACAGTGAAGCTCGGCCTCTCGCCGGGATCAAAGGACCAGCACGCCGAGAGAATCTCCTGCAAGGAGTATTTGTGGCTCATGATCTCTGTTCGGGTCAAGGCCAGCTCTGCAGAGCAAGCAGCTGACAGCACTGGGACTGGCACAAGCCCAGCCACAGGTACTGCTTAATAGAGGTCTTGGGCATTCTTATAATCCAGCAGTGTCCTGGTGGATGTCTACTTCCGTGTGGCAGTCAGGGGCAGAGGCTTGTACCTAACCTGGCATCCACTCTAATCTGTGTCTGCCCTGCCCGTTATCCTTAGAGCTATGAGTAAAATAAATCTCTTTAAGCAGCCCCCTCTTTCCTGATCAATAGCTCTGTGGAAGGATTCCTGCCACCAAGGTACTTACATTGACTTCTTTCCCCAAGCTGACTGTGGCAAGGACTTGCTTCACCCCTTCGCCACTCCCGATCTGCCAGATGAGCGCCTCGGCAGGCTGGGTCTTGAAAGGCCATTCTCTTGCTTGGAGCTCATACCACACAGTCCTGCAACAGCAACAGCAAATCAAGCCTTTGCCTGCTCTTAAGGAAAGATAGAAACCCTGTCACTGCTCCTGTTCCTTCAGCCGGGCTCCTCCTGTGGCTTTTGTAGTAGGTGAGGAAAATGCATCCCTGCTGGAATCCCACGTGTGAGAAGAGGACAGCTGACCCACAGGGCTCAGCCTGTAACAGATCTCCTTTAGGAAGCTCCCGTGGCATTCCCAGGTGTCCCTTTCTTACCCAAAGGCGTAGATATCCGCAGCTTTGGAGAAAGGCAGCTTGTCCTCATCTTTCCCAGGGGCCATCTCACGAACAATCTCGGGGGCCAGGTAACACAACCAGTCGTGAGGCAGCTTCAATTCGTTCTCCCTCCTGAGTTCCAAAGAGAGAGGTGACACTGAAACACTGCTACATCAGCCAGGAACAGACCAGCTCTGTGCTTCACCCAGTGCCTGGGCTTTAGGCACTCGACTGTGTTTGATGCCATTTCATTCCTAATTTTAGTGCCATATTAAAACCCCTGCATGTGTTAGCCTGACCCCCCAGCTCACTCTGGGGCTTAAGGTTAGTTTTGTTTGTTCTGTGTTCTGAGTGTTAACCCACACAGAACTCCCCAGCCCTGAGCTACTGGAACTGTAGCAAGAACTCTGCTTAGAAAAAGAAAACAAAGTGTATTCCAAAACTGTGAGTATGTCCTAAAGCAGCCGACGCTCCTCCCTTGTAACTGCGTTTCCCTCTTGGACCATTATTTACCATTCCAGAAGCAGATCCAGCACTGAAACCTCCACTTACCTTCCTTCCTGAACCACACCCGAAATTCCAAATAATCCAAAGTCAGTGATCACAACTTTCCCATTGTCATAGAAAACATTCTTGGATTTCAGATCCTTGTGCACAATGCCCTTCGCGTGAAGATAGCCCATGCCCTGGGAAACACGTGGAGATGGAAACTTTTAATTGTATTGTCACTAGGTACGAGCTGCTGACTCGGGCCCTGCTTTGCTTGGAACACACCCTGACCCTCCCCAGCCCAGCATAAAGGATGAATTGTAAGTGAGGACACAGCATCCGACTGATGCAGGAAGGGGGCAAGGGAGCAGATCTCGGTGTAGTGCTCCACCTCCACCTTGCTTTGCATCCTCTGCGTAGCAGGGCTGCTGGAGGGGGATACTCCGAGTTGGAGCAGTGAGTGGCTGTGGACCTCACAACTCTGAAGCCTCTATGCGTGAGCTGACACGAGTTTGCTCACTGAATTCACAGCGTATTTCTGCCAGAAAAGAAACTGGCAGCTTTAGAAACGCTTCTTCAGTTGAGCAATATTGAAAGCCCAGAGCAGACTGTGCAGCTCCGGCAGGAAACGCCATCTGCTTCCGAACGCACCAGCTCAGCTGCGGCTACCGACGGCAGAGACCAGGAGAGGAGGAGCCCTGCCCCACACACCCTCCTTCACTGCTCCCCTCAGCTCTGCCCCAAAGCAGAGCTCTCCCTTAGCATCACGTCTCTTACCTTAATGATCTCCTGTGCTATCTGCCGGGTTTTGTTAATGTCCAGGGATATCTTGGGGTCCCTCACAAACGAGTGAAGTGTCCTTCCTTTGCAGAAGCTACAGGAAAGAGGAACAACAATCCTGAAAAAGGTCTTCAAAATACAGAAGGGAAATAGGAAGGTAATACTGATGTCTAGTTGGGTTTCTTATCATGGTGACAGAATCCCAGCCCTCTTCCACTGCTGAGAATCACACTTTGAAGGACTTTAGGACTAGGAGAGTGGAATGCCCTTGGCCTTCAATAAATTCAACCTGCACAGGAACACCCCAAAAAGCTGTTGTTTAGGAGCTAAATGATTCCTAACTAAATACTGAAAATGAAGGAGGGACAAAAATAGCACCATTGCTGCCAAGTGTCCCTCAGAGGACCAGCAAAGGTAACTGGTGCAGTATCAGCCTCACACACTGCTTTGTTGTCACTTTGCTGCACTGGAACCATTTGGAAGGAGATGGCAGAGGAACAGCCTGTTCCAAATTTTTTTTCCTCCTACATTTTGAATTTTATTATTTAAGAATTCAAAATAAAAAGAAAATTGGCAAAAAATATTGCATGTTCCCTAGAAGGAGACAACGCTTGTATCCAAAACTGAGCAACGCAGCCTGCGTGTCTGCCACCTCCTGACAGCGAGAGGCTTCTTTTTCTACGTAACGAATAAATATTAACTTACAGAATATGTATATATTAAAACACTACCACGCTGCTCTATCCTTACCTGGTAATGATTGCTAGATGAGGGGGGTTCATGCATGCTCCCATGAAGAGTACCACGTTCTCATGCCGGGTCTGTCTGTAGTTCATCACCTCCTTCTTAAAGAGCTTGAGATGATCCTGGTTGTTCCCGTCTATCTCCAGCAGCCGGATGGCCACTTCCCCGTGCCACTTCCCCTTGTAAACCTTCCCCCACCGCCCTTGGCCAATGGGATCCCCCAGTTCAATCTGTTCAAAGGGGATGTCCCACTCCTGCAGGTACACGCTGGTCTGGCTGGGCTTGCGGTAAATCATCCCTTGCAAGCGGGGCCGCCTGTTTGGCAGATCCTCCACCTCATCCTCGTCATCTTCAGGTTCTGATTTATTAGCCTCTGGTTCCTCCACCTGCTCACAAACAGAGAAGGCAAACACATGCTGAGAGCCCCCTCTGAGGGGCAGGAGCAGCCAGCAGCACAGGCTGCTCTGAGAGAACCTCGGGGGTTGGATGTGGGCATCTGACATCCGTACGTCTGTGTGCAGGTGCAGACAAGAAAGGCTTCATCCCTTATAGAGATGAATCTGTAGAAAAGTGAGGGGCAAACCAGAAAAAAACCTACCTCTGCTTCACATTCAACTCCGTGTGTGCCAGGCTGTTGATCAGCACTAACAAGAGAAGAGAGGATTACAGTGAAAATGACGTTTGCATATCCACCCGAGTCAGAAAAGGGGCTGCTGCGTGTGCTTTTAGTGGCGTGAAGGAAGCAAATGGAGAACAGATCTTTACAGCATCACAGAAAAACACAATTACTGCTCCACTTAACAGATAAAGACTTTCTAAGGTTACTTTAGCAAATGAGGGACAAAGCCTTTGAAGTGATTTTCAGTGATTAAGTGGTAGGAATTGATCTGGCAGGGGCATGGCGACATCACTACAATGTGTTCTGGTAATGGATATTCCCATTCCTCCTACTGAGGCATCTAGATCAGAGAAGTGATTGTGAGCACTGGCAATGTGGGCTAAAATCTTCTGCATGCCACAGAATGCAGATCCTTGAACAGATGTTTGCTTGCAGCCAGGTGTGCCATTCTCTTTTAATTAAATACCCTGGGAGTTCTCAGCTAAGTTCAGTTTTGGACATGACACGGAGTTTTCAGACTGATCTGAAGCTCACCCGGTAAATACTGTGCAAATAGAACAATTTAGAGCTGTACTTACTTAGTTTCTGCAGCTGTTTCTGGAGGCTGTGCTGTCTGGGCAGGACTGGGAATTTCTGGGAAAATAGGAACATTCATGATACATATTTTACACTTTAATCTCCTACAGATCGGAAGTTTTAACACTGCAATAGTGATTACTTGCTGCTTATTCAGGAATTACGAAGTAAACTCAACCACAGACAATATGATTTCATACTTCCATTAAGTTAAAACTGTGCTCATCTTTCCTAGGACCTCTATGCCTGTATATTGACCAAGCCCAGACTTCCTCCCGTTCACCTGCTGATCTGTAATGTCTTTCAAGTCCTTGTCTGTGAACTGCTCACAGGCCTTCAAGTCTGCCCAGTGCCCTTTTATACTAGATACAAACCCCTAAAAGTGAGCCTTTTAAAAGAAAGAACACTGCTGTGTACAGAACCCCCAGAACAGCAGCAAGCTCTTTTCCAACCGACTATCTAAAGTGTCACCTTAGTACGTAAATCACATCAGTACCTCCTATTAGGAGAGAGGGGCCTGAATTCCATCCTGAGACAACAGAAAGCCTGAACTGGTTCAGATGCTCTTTTTAAAAGCAGAATTACTGTTCTCAGGCAGCATGCAAAGTTTACAAACAAGTTACTTTTCGGCAGTAGGAGCTGGTTAGTAGAATTAAACCCATGAACTCACCTGGGAAGATGAATTGTTGTCTGTGCTGAATGTAGTAGGCAGCTTTTGGATTAATTGTTTAAAAAAAAAAAGAACAGCAAATAAAACGTATCAGGAGAAAAAAACAACACAAACAAGTTAGAGGATCATCAGTGAGTGCTCCATATGCATTCCATGAATTAGTCCCAGCTCACTGCTGGGAAATGTATTAGTAGATTATCAGCCTGCTCGAGGGGGTGAATTCCAGCACATGCATTTTGGAAAGACTACAACAGATGATACTTGTCAAATGAGAGCTAGTAAGCAAACAGTCTGGTGGGGAAACAACACATTCAGGCTTCAAGTGGCGGAGGCAAGTTGAGGGGCCCAGGGGTGTGAAAGGCTGGTGCTCCGGTGCCCTCTCGTGTCTTCAGCTTTTCAGAGGTGCACCCAGAGCAGCTGAAGCTCTTGAGCCATCTGCAAACTGTTCTCTGCGTTTCAGTGAACTTGAGCAGAATGTCCCAATACGCAGTAGCTGCAGTAGAATCCTTGTACTAAGCTCGTTCTGCTTCTGCTCCTTCTGACTAAGCTGAAATAGCAACTTCCACTCACAGATCAAGAGCTTGATGCAAAAATACAGCAGTGTTGAAGGCTAGATGGAGCAGTTACGAAACCACATGCTGCTCGATTTCCAGATCAAAGGGATTAAATTTATTCTCACGATGTAAATCTTTGCCTTTGTCAAGAGATTCTGGCCTCTATTGACTGATAAAGACTGCACATTTGGGTTCCTCATCTGTAAAGCAGGTAGAGCCAATTCTTCTCTACCATATGTGTATGTCAGTGGTTTAGAATTGTTTGTTGCTGGTTATCTTTTGGAAGGCACTGGTAAAGTAATTCACTCAGGTTCTCATTTGTATGCTTTGCTCTAGCAATCAATTTAGGATCTAAAGCCACTGGTGACCCAGCACAGCAGGCAGCATGCATTTCACAGCACAGTGAGAGAAGGGAGGAGAAAGAATATAATGGGTTTTTAGTCCCTTCCAGAAAAGGAGAAGAGGGATCAAATAATTTAAGAAAGGTGCAAACATTCCTCAGTAATGTCTCCTGCAAAGGTACCTTGTTGATACCACTTAAAAACTTGTAAGAACAATTTTGTTCTATAAGGTAACAAAATACACCTTCAAACCTTGCTAAAGATACAACCATCCATGTAGTCAGAAACCTGCCATTGCCTGTGAAGACTTATCAGCCTCTGAGTGTATAGAGGCCCTTCTGATCTTGGTAGGGGTCTCCTGAAAAAGCCGTGTTTACCTGGGAAGTTAAAGCGTCCATCCCTGTGGCCCATGGGAGAGGGGTTTGGGGGAGGTGTTGCGCTGGGAGGGTTGGAAGACTGGAAAGGGGCTGGAGAAGAGGGTGTGGATGAGGTTGTAGAAGAGGGATTACTGCTGGAGTCCAGATGGTTTATTGCTGGTGGATGCTCCTGCAAAGCGAAGGAAGTCACTCGTAAGGAGACAATAAAAAGGAAGACAGAATTGCCCTCAATGTCTACTGAACATCAGGGAAAGGAAAGCTGTCCCAGCCTCGGGTACAGCAGAGTTTCCTTACAGACACCAGACCCACTGCAGTCACCATGTACCTTTTTAGTTAGTGCTTTGGGAAGAGTTCCAAATTGTGGCTCTGTTGGTCTGTCTACTGGATTATTGATATCAGAAGGGACAGACTCTGTTCTTCTTATTTTTGCTACTGAAAAACAGGTGGGAGAAGGGAGGAAAAAAAGCTTTAATCAGACTTTTTTATTCTTGTGATACCATCAATTACATTGAAATGCCAAGAACTTGCAGAAAATTACTTACTGGGAAGGAAGGAGATTCTACAGGCAGGTGCCTCTTTAGTACATTTGTTGTGACATTTTAATCTGAAAGAGATACATTACATGTTAAATAGCAGCTTGTTCTTTCCCCAGAAGAGGAAGCCTACCCTTAATTTGTAATTCTTATGCTAATCTCAGAGGGAGTTCTGGAATGCTCCTGGCCCCAGAGCAGCATGCATTCATATGAAGAATCCTATTATGTGTGTCATTAGGCTAATGAAAGCCATATACATATCTTAGCATCTGATTTATTTTTAATGTAGTTACCTTCACTGACTCTCATCCAGCTACAGTAAAGCACTAAATCTCAGTGCTCTGGACTAACAACCCAGACAGAGAACTAAAATCCTCGCTGCTGTTTGGTATGCAGCTCCCACTGCAAGATTTGCCCATGATCAGGTAGGAAGCCTGTGGCAGGGAACTGGATTTGGTTCATCCATGTGTCAGGCTGCCAACCTAAAGTGTAAGTTGTGCCAGAGCCTCCCTTTGCCAGTTCAGAAGCTCACTGAAAAAGTGATGCCATTGCTAAGGGTGCAGCACATCAAGGGACACGTGTTACTGGCAAACTTCAATGAAACACATGCAAAGTTCTTCTGAAGATGATTGCTGTGTGCTCACCTGCAGTACTTACACTTCACCCCGAACATCATGCTCTTCTGACAGACTTGGCAAATCTGAGATAACCAAGACTTTGTAGAGAACCTAAATAGAGACAAGAGGGGAAAAACGATGGTCACTGGTGCTTAAAGGAAAATTAACCTTTGTAGGTCGCGACAGGCTGGACTGCTTTAGAAATGAAGCTGAAATACATAGTTAAGGCTGAACTTGGCAAACGAGGCACCAGATCCAACGTCCAACCTTAGTCATGACTGCTACAAACATCCTAAAACGCTGGGATTCTGTTCTGCTTGGACCCCTCAGTCTGTCCCTAGGGCTCCCGCAGCGTGTTGCTTACCTGTGTGTTACAGCTAAGCCAAAGTCTCTTCGTACCGTTTGAGGGGATCCTTGGGAGAGTTCTGGTGGAGAACAAAAGGATGTTTTAGGGAGGCATCACTCACAACTGTGCTGATCAGTCTAGGCAGAAACAACGTGATCACTGTCACAGGTAAGGACCAGCAGCCACAACACTGTCAGTAGCACAGCTGAGATCGCTTTGCCTTCTGCTGCAAAGCTACTACCAGATCCTATCTGGTGTTAGTTCTCACATGGAGGCAATGTAAGATCAGATTTGGTTGTGGAATCATAATTCTTCCTTTTTTCTTTTTTTTTTTTTTTTTTTTGTTAAATCATTATGTTTTACATTTAGGGATTGCAGAGTCCATCTGATTAGGTCCAGGCCATTCTTAAAGTGGAAAGCCAGGTTTAATTCCCCATTGGTTTACCACAGATGTCACCACCCAGCTCTCATGCAGTGTCAGATAATATTTTTCTACATTGAAAATCATTATCTCCATTTTATAGACAGGGCCAATGTGACCCAGAAGAATAGAAAGATTTATGTGAGATCACTCAGCCAGCTGGAAGTGCAGACCTCAGAACGCCAGCTCAGCACTCCAGTGGGTATCGCACGTAACTTCCCAAAAACTCTCCAATATTTAGATTCTGGCATCGTTCCTGAATTAAGCCATGTTGCAAATCTGGAGGAAACTCAACTCTGCAAGTATCAACACAGCTTCAAGGCTGGACACTGTCAATGCTTACAAAAAGCCAGTCTCTTTATTTGACCCTAGATGGCACCAGATTCTTTTTTATCTTTATTCCAGTAAACTTTTAAAGGCATCTGTGGTCTTCAGCACCTTAGAATAGGCTGGAAGTTGCTTTTCCAAGGAATATCTAGTGTGGCCATCCAACTGCAGAGTCATCTTAATTAGTTACAATACAACAGTTAAGATGGCTAAAACCAAGGGACCCCCATCTCTGTACATTAGCTTCCAAGGCTACAGGTTGTGTCTGAGACAGGCACACGTGGTCACACCAGCCTAGCTAACATGCTAAATGGCATTAGTACGTCACTGGATAAAAACACAAGAACATTAAACCATTAAACACATGAATAGACTCATCAGCATCAGGGGAGCATCCCACAGAAGGCTGTATGAAAGAGTCTGATTTCATTACAGAGATACTTGACAATGAATGTCCAGAGATACTTAATAGTAAGATCTGAAGTTATTCGTAGTACCAAGAGGCATCGATAACAACTGTCTGAAGTCACAGACAAGCATTTACACCCAACCCCCTTGCTGTAGCCCTTTAAAGACCAGTGTTCCTTTTCCTTGCTCTTGTCATCTGAGGAAATACCAGGTACAAAAAAGACCATGTGAACATCCTGCAGATCTCCAGTAGGCCAAGCTCCTGTTAGAGTTAACAGCAGCTCTGGGACAGAAGGCCCTGTTGAGGACCTCCAGCGGCTGCACAGGGATGATCACAGAGAGCTGACAGGACAGGTTCTTCTCTCTCTCTCAATGAAATGAAGACAGCCCTGTAAAAATCTCTTACCGAACCTAGAGAGAAAAAATACACATTTTTAGACATTGATATTGATGTGACAGGATACACACTTTGCTAGAGCAGAAACTCCTTCCTGCAGCTTTTGGTATCAGGTTTGCAAACATCTCTGGTTTTGAAGGCTCCTGAAGTTGCTGCATAGCCAGTATTTTCCTGCTTACAATGGGTAGTCTTTGCTGGGTAGAGCTCCAGCCTGTGAGTGCAGTGTACAAGAGTGCACCTGAATTGTGTCTTGCAGATGGGAATGTAATTTGGGCAAACAGGTCCTGAGCGGAACAGGCTCTGTGAACTTTTCCAGGTGGTCAAAGAGTTAGTGTAAGTTGTAATGATCCAGTGCCTGCTGCAGAATCTGGATGCTGACCTAAGTCTCTGATGTTTTGGGATGGGCAGAGGCTCTGGAAGGCACGTTGTTTTCCCCACTTCAACTATTTGTTATATGTTAGATAATTACACTCCATCCTGCCTACATAAAAAAAGTGTATCTCAAAGCCTAGATCAGTCCATAAAATGGTGCAGCCTAAGACCATTTGCCTTGTTATGGAGCTGTAACACTGTAATAAATGTGTTTTAAAGCTCACACTAGCCGCTAAGATACATCTTAAGATAAAAACATAAAAGGATACCAGCCACTTACACCTGAACCGTGAGGAACATTTAAGGACAGAAGAGAATTCTAGTACATGGAATTGGCTATTAGATGCTTTAGAAAAACTGGTTGGGGCCCTTACACAGCAGCAGCCATCCCAACCTCCCCAGCAGGTGCAATTTCAAATGAATTCAAATGAAGTACACCATTAACAAGCAGGTTTTGTGGTTATCTTAGAATATCCTACTGATAGAGGTTCTCACACCACAGTGAAATCATGACCAGGCAACTCTTTCGGAGAGTCAGAACTGGAGCACTGAATGCCCTTTGGTATGAACACAGCCCACCAGCACCTGTGGGGAAGGAGGAAGTGTCATGCTTACTTTATTGGAGGAACTTCATCTATCCTGTTCCCCAGCTGGGATTCATGGGACTTGCTCCTTGTGAGGGTTGGGAAGTTAGGTAGCAGCTGAAAAACCTTCCTGCAAGGGGGAGGAGGAGTCCGTGGTGGCTTTAGCTTGTGCCGCCGCTTGGTTTGAGGAGTGGTTGGAGGAGTGATGGTGATGCTGTGAGGAGTCCTTGGCGTTAACCTTCCACTGTGTGCGGGGAATGCAAAAGGGTCCAGGAGGTTTTCTGCATAGATAGAAGGTCCGTGACTGCAGGCGAGAGGGTCTGAACCTGGGATTGTAGAGACTGACACAGAGCGTGGCTGCTGGCTGTTGCCCTTGGGAGGGTGCAGTGCAGAGGGGGTCCATGTGGGCGCAGCGGAGCCGGGGGACTCGGTGGTGGTGGAGCTGTTCTCTCGGCGCGCCTCAGAGAGGTTCATCAGCACATCGTCCCTCAGCTCCCCGCCTGCTCACCAACCACAGCAGTGTTAGTGACTGCTTAGAAAGAAAGCCAACCCACAGACACACACCACATCATGCTGCTTTGGGCTACCAGGTGTTTTTTTTCCCCTGTGTGGTACCCAGCCAAGGTGCCAGCTTAATTCCTCCTTCCCTAACACCCATCAGCTCCAGTAACCTTTAAAACAAGAACAGCAGTAACTACCCTTCATTGCTATCTGTAGCTATGTATTTCAAAGGCTAAAATCAGGTCCTATGTTCTAAGATGGGCTGAGTTTTAACAGACTGGGCCTATTGAAGCATGTGGGATAAACATACCTACATAGAACAGGCACCCACATCCCACTGCAAACCTGTGTGGATTTGGTACTAATCTGTGTAAACAACCTGGTAGCCTGTCTGCTTTCAGACTGCTCTTTGGTAAAGAGAGGAAACTATTTTCTATTAGCCAATAGAAGTGCTAAATAGCACTTAAACTGAGAAGGGCCATTAGATTGGGAATAAGGAGTAACTAGAAGCTCCTCATACTCATTGGGCCACTTCTCTCTCCCGCTGCGATGGCCACACTGCCTCCTGCACTGCCTAGCACTGTACTTCTGCATGGCCCAGCACAGCTCGTAGACCAGTTCTGGGCATAAATGGGGGAAAAAAGGCCTGCAGGCAGCAAAGTGGGAATGCACAGATCACTGGGGTGATTTCAGAGGCTTAATTCTCAGGATAACTCTCTGTCCTTAATGACTTAAACCAAGGTGAAAAGTCAAAGCTTCAGGGCCTGATGTCCTGGTGACCAGTCAGTGGCTGCAAAGAGATCAGATACCTGGATTTTAAAAAATATCTTTTCTTTATGAGTGAATGCCACGACCTCTGAGCACGGCTGGTTTTGCCACAGTATGGATGGGAAAGATTTAACAAGCCGGGACAAAAAAGATTAGGAAAAAGGAAATCTGAAACTGAGCTGTTTGCTGACTTTTCCATTAACTAATCTTTATGATTTGCAAATGGGATGAACTGTCATAATACCAACAGGAAACACCAGCTTGCAGTGACAGACTGGTAATTGCTATGGAGAAAGACCTGATGCACATTAGTACCAGTGAGCTGTGAGAAACTCTCTGTACAAACAGATTTTACAATGCCTTTGAACATAGCCTGGGGAAGGTGACAGGGGAAGATGGTGATGCAGCACCCTGGGAATCTTGAGCCTGACTGATCTTAAATAACTCTGTCAGATCCACTTGCCTGCTATAATTACACAGTACCCTGCTTCCCATAATTTCAAGGTAAATCAGAGTTCTGTCTAGCTCTTGAATCTGCTATTGGAATTTGGCTAACAATTCTATCAATTCTAGCAAAGAACAATAGCAGGAGGCAGGGGGATTTAAAGAGAAGTGAATCAACTGGCACACTACACAATTCGGTGATAAAGGGTTGTTGGAGCAATGTTTTTCTCTTCCAAAGCATTGAGCTGAACAATACTCAGGCTTCTGAGCAAAGTAATGCCAAACAGAATTACACCTTCCCTCTGAGCTAGCAATATTTGGGGAGGGGATTACCTACAAGAAATCTGGTTGTATTTGTTAGGTCAAGGATATGAATGATGGAGGATTAACTGGAGCATTAGACACAACTCTGAACAGAGAGGGGTTAAGTCTATCGAGTAGGAGAGGATATTTCTACATAGTTATTTCCATTTACTTATTTATCTGACATGCTGTCAAAACCAAATCAAATCCACAGCTCTAGATGAGTCTGATCAGTGCCAATTCATGTACATCCAAGAGCCTGATTACAGAATATGCCCAGAGACATTGTGTAGAGGACTTTGCAGATTGTCTCATAGCAAAGGAAGCAGGAGGGGGCCGGGTTGCTGGGAAGCTAATGCCACAGCACAAGGCAGGCTGTACCTGATTCAGTTGCCTTCCGCAAGCAGCTCAGTGCCCCATTGAGCCGGGAGCACTCCTCATCTCTGGCACCACATCTCTTCATTGTTTCTTTCACCTTTGACTCATTCATTTCTAGTAAGGCATCTAAGGTCAGCTCCTCTGGTATCCTCTGCAGAAAACAAGATGATGCATTTATGGGTTTTTTTAATACACATATATAAGGCTGTCACATGTTGTTCTGATATACTTTAAATAGTGCCACTGTCTCACTGCCTGGTCTGACTCATGGTTTACTCATTTTGGGAGTGCATCTCTTGAGGATCACCGGGTCGGTGAGATCTCAGCAGTGCTCAGCCCCCTCTCCCCTCTGCAGCACGAGAGACCAGGCGTTTGCTGGAGCCTGCTCTGTATCACTAGGGCGTTATGGTCATTCGCTGGTGTTTCAGTTAGGATTAGGGGTGGTGGAAGTGTTCCTCTCCCCTTGTGGAAAGTTTTCCCTCAGTATTTTTGAAAAGCTGCTACTGAAAGCGTAACTTTTTCATTGGAAGTAGCAGTCAGAAACAAAACAGGCCTAAAACCTGAAAAAATGTCAGATAAAGATGTTTGGCTTTTCAGTAGGGAAGTGACAAGTAAAACCAGTGAGGAAAATGACTTCTTTCATTTAACAAAATGCAATGTTTTGACAAAGAGATAGTGACCTCCTCCATAAGCAATTTTTCCTTCATTAGAGAACCAGCCTTACCCGTATCTTGCTTGGAAAGATACTTGTGCAGAACTCCTTGTACATTTTAATACACCAAAGCCCCCACAGTGATAAGGTGTAGATCAGGCACACACAAAAGATACAAGAGACTGGAAAGCATGAAATGATCTGGTATTTCCTGACACAGAACCGAGCTGTGTTGCCTCCCTCCTCCCCCATTCAAAGGTTTCCAGTGTAAGTCTGCAGCAATTGTAGTTAATAAACAAAACCAGGATATTTAACCCAGATACCCAAGAATTTCCCTGAAAGTTTTGCCTAAACAAACCTCCCTGCTCCCAATGAGATCACAAATTTCACAATATTTGGCCTCTTTCCTAAAGTTTTGACTCCTGGAATCAAGTTATTTAAAAGGGTTTTAGTGTTTATTTGAAGGGGAAGCTCCAAAGTGTGTCTCACTGTCTAGAGAAACAAAAAGCTTGAAATGCTCCAGATTCTGAAACCCTGCTTCTGAATGTTGTTGAGTGTCCTTTAACAATTGCATCTTTCTTAATCCGGGCTCATGCCTTTGAGGTCTGACGCATGACTTCTGACTTTAACTGTGACAGTGCTAGAACAGCCCCAACCTTTGGAGCTTTGTAGGTGCTGACACAAAGAGGAATCACATAGTTTCCATTTTTAGTAACTATTGCGTGGAGCAGAGGAAAAAGAATAACTTAAGAAAGGGCAGAAGTGTGAGAAATGCATCCTGCATCTTCTGTCACATGCCCGAATCGGATGAGACACAACACAGCTGACGTGAGGAGAGGCCAGGAATTTAAATGAGCCGTGAGCACAAAGCAGGGCCACAGCAGAGCCAGAGTTCAGTGAAGTCAGGGTGTGTTTTCTTTTTCCATAATTAATATTAGCAGAATAAAAGCACAGCTACCCCAGCTGATGCTGGCTATTATTATTTCAATTCTCTGTACACCCTCACCACCAAGATGCAGCAATAAGGCTGCCCCAAAAAGCTTCTTCCTGAATGTCTTCCACTTGGATAAAATGCAGGAAGCGCATAGACTCCAGTGAAAACACAGTGCAAAATCTGCCCTCCTGGGATCCCTAACCTGTTATTACACTCCAAAGGACAAACCCCCCCAGGGGTTCAGATCATCTGACCAGAAACTGGAATGGGTTTCCATGACTCAAATATTCCAGCACCAAGCCAGTACCGGTTTGTTTACACAGAGCCCCAACCAAACTGGGCTGATAACAACAGAGTTAATCCAAGCCTTACAGTTAGCTACTTCCCCAGCTCCCCCTGAATTCCTCTCCCCAGCTGACAGAGGCATCTTTGTTCTGTGGTACTACAAGGGCGCTTTGATGCAGGACATCCCCAGCAGCTGTAAAAGGGGCAGTGATGGGGGGCAAACACAGAGTGAGATATACTGTAATACATTAAGTTTTCTACACCACCCCGGGTGCCCTGTGCTCCGGAGCAGGGAAGCTAATGTTTCCCTAGGAAGCACCAGGGAAAGCCAACGTCTCTTACAAAAACATTTATCCCATTTCATGCTTTTACACGGTCCTGCAGTAAGTGGGATAACAGCGATGTCCTTGAGTTATCCTGAAACATTTCCTCACCCCACCACTCCCCACTAAGGAAACAGCCCAGATGATGTAGCCACTGTGTTCATACCATCATCGCAGATCCCAGTGCAAGCTACCCAGCCACATTACCCTGCACCACCTCCCCTCCCCATCCCTCGCATGGCACACGTGTAACCAGTAACTTATTAGAACTATTAGTAAGTCATTCAGTGAAGTGGAGGAGACAAAGATTTCCTGGGGAAAGCAAACCTTTCCCACCACAGGCAGGTCTATTGCTCAACAGTTTAATTTTAGCAAGACAGAACAGCAAGTTGTAGGAAAGTATAAGTACAGAAAAGGAGATTATATTTAAACAATCCCAGTGACCTTGAGCTGGGCGAGCTCAGACTTTGTGAACCTGCTGCCAGCCCCCATGACACGCGACAAAAGAAATAAGCCTTTAAAGAGGGGGGGAGGGAGGGGAAGTAAGAGGCTTTCTTTAAACAGCCACTCATGTGCTGCACATATGTGGTGGCTTAATATAAAACTGGTCAACCTGATCCCTGCAAGATTGGCCTGATATGATTTAGCTCTGTGTTAGCCCCTCGGCCAACGTGATAATGTGACGGTCGCTAGTTCAAGGCGGCTCCTAAACCAGGTTCTGATGATGGTGATGCTGTGGCTCAGCTGTTGAGGAGATGAATGTCCCCTTCGAAGTGCCCCAACAGGGTCCATCTCGGAGGAGCATGTGGTGGGCTCCAACCCCCAGCGCAAGTGCAGTTCTGGGCCCTTGCAAAGGGGCTACACCCCATCTTCAGCACTGAGGGTGAGAAATGTGGGTCCAACAGATCCCTCTCTACCTGCTTCTTCATGGGTGCTGTGGCTTTAAAGAAATGCAGCTTAAAGGCCTGTATTAGGGCCAAGCCAAGTACCACCTCCCTGGGCATGCCTTGCCTTGACTGCAGAGTGACAGGGGAAGCTGCAAGATATTCAGATACTACTCTAATAATTAGGTCAGATTAAAAAAGGAACAAAGAAAAAGCAGGAGAGACAGAACCTGCTTTCAATCTTTCAGCACCTCGAAACTGCCAGCAAAAGCTAAAGCCTTACCCACCACACATTGCTCAGCAGAAGTGATGCTAGAAAGCCCAAGCCAGGAAATTATTCCTCTCTGTAACAGGTAAGAGGACTGTTGTACAAAGCCCTCCTGCTTATCAGACATACAGACAGTGCACGTCATGTTACACGTGTTTGAAAGAGACAAAAGTAAATCACAGGGTATGCAAGAAGCCATCCAAAGGTTAGCCTCAATTAGTCAGGGTGAAGAGTTCACAAGAGTCTTTAATGTTGTCTGGTGTCCAACTTACTTAAATCCCTGAAACATGGCAAAAATGCTGGTATCTACCTCAGTGGATGGGTTATTTTTGGTAAAGATTCCATCCTGCAGATAAGCCCACGGAGCTAATGCTGCTGCTCGCAGCCTGCAGCCTCAGCCTGACCTGCTCCTCGGCCTGGCAGACTCGGCTCTTCCTCTGAAGCTGGGCAGTTACCAAAGGCCCCAAATGCCTCCTCTTAAATCAATACATTCCCTCCCCAGTCATCCCCCATAAGGCAGCAGATGCTAGAAGAGAAAGCCCATTACATAAAGTGCTTAAATTCCCACTGATAGCTCTAAGCAAAGCATGTAAGGATGCTCTTAAGAACATCTTGTGCCTGCTAGTTGTTATTTTGCTCTAGTTTTCTGGTGGCCAGTGGAGAAAGTACTGAAACATTGTTGTATTATTTCTGGAGATTTAGTGGGCATTCTGGAAAGCCTCTCTCATGGAATTTCTAGCTTGCATTAAGCTGTGAGCATCCAGAGGCTATGGTTTAACATAATGTCTCCCTCCTCATTGTTTCACCTCTCACCCAACGGATGGTAGAGAGGAGGTGACAGTCCTAGGGCATTCAGTGGCCGGGAGAGCTGCTGTCACTACTGTTCTGTGGGAAGGCAGTTGTAGGGGCTGCAGTATTTCACTGCAGATCCTGAGGGGTACCATGAGCCTCCTGCTGACCATGAGTGACTCACAGTGACAAGGCTGTGAGGGGCACTTGGACCCCTTGGCAGGGGAAGGGAACGCTGGCAGTGGAAGAGAGCATTTTCCAAGGGCTGTTTTCACTGGGGAGGGGCCTTCAGCTGGAACACAGCGATGGAGTTTTGGATGCAGGAAGCCTGCAGGACTCGTTTAATTTGCATACACACAATTAACACATTCAGGGTCCCTGCTATCTGGCAGTCCAGCCAGAGCCTCCGCTGCCATGCCCATGGAAATCCCGAGCCAAGAGCCAAAGTCCTCATGGTCTGTTCATGCAGATATGCTGACAGAGAAAGATGAGAGGATACAGCTGTGGAAACCTGATAGGCTTAGGCAAATCTGCCTCTCCTATTCCCCCAACCAAAGTAAGGATGCACACACATAAAGCCCATACTTTTCCTCCATCAGTTATCAACTAGATCATAGTCTGTGCAAGTACAACCATCTGCCATGATCTCTCAGTGTCAATCTATGCCAATGCCTCATCCTCCACAGGTTTTCCCTGAGGAGACTCTCAGCAGACCATTCCTCCTCAAGGCACGAGCCCTGCTCTGCCCCGATGTGCCAAGTACTGCCTTTGGCTTGCTCAGGAACCACTCCTGACTACTCACATGAAAGCAGGTCTTTGGCATAACACTAAATGGGGAATGAGACAAGTCTCACAAGCAAACAGGAGGTATTACAAAGAAATATATACATTAGGAGTCAAATACATTCCCCAAGTGGAAGAGCCGTAACCCAGCGCTGTTCCATCTGCCCCGGCAGTCTCCCTGGTGGCACAGTTCTGCTCAGAGCCAGCAAGCTCTGGGGCAGGATCTGCCCCTCCCTGTGCATGAGAGTTATCTACTCTAAAAACAGCTTTCCAAACTTGATTGACTGGAACCCCTGCTACACGGGGAGCAGGGCTGGTTCAGGCATGTTTCAGAAGATGATAAGGAGATAACTATGTTCTCATGCTATTTTTTAAGACGGTGACAAGTTGTATGTGGGAAGACACAAATATAATAGTTAAGTTTCTGGGAAGAACAACAGTAAAGGCAGTGAGGACTTCTTTCCGTGCTGAAGAAAATAAGCCAATAGAGATTTTTAATCTCTCTGGTTTAGCACCCATGCCCCAAGCCCAGAACCAAGTACGTACCTCTGCAAGAGGTTTCTTCCATCAGCCTAAGAGTGGGGACAGCACTCTGTTCACATCCTCCTTCCCTCCCACCCCACCTGAATTCTTGACTCCAACTCTCAATGGGAGCAGGACAATCCAGATCAGTATATTATTCTAGTTCTGTTTTCAGAGCAACTTCTACCCACTGAAGACCACTACACAGCTTAAATGTATCTTCTGTCTACGGTTCCTTGGTTCCTTGCCCTGTCTTTTCTAGTGCTCAGTTCAAGTATCTCTTTTTCCAGTTTCAGTCCATTGTATTTAGTAATTTATGCATCATTCTCAGTACTAAACCACAGGCGCACAGTGCTAATCAATCGCTGGGACTCCCAGCCAAAACCAAGAGCATTTCCTAGACAAAAGAAGACAGTTCCAGAAGAGCCTTAGCCAAGCTCCATAGCAGAGCCTGCTCCACACTAGTTCTACCACTATTTCTATGGTAAAAGTCTGTCTGGAAACTGGTGAGAGGCACAATAACAAAGAAACAGAAATAGCACAGGTTGGGGTGGGGGTTCAAAGCTTCCTCACCCCTCAGAGCTGTGTGTTCACAGAGAGCAAACAGCATCACCAGAAGGAGCTTTAATAGGTTAGATTGAAGCTTGTATTCACCACCTACCTCCAAGTCTGCTAGGTCCACACAGAGCAGCCCTTTCACCCTGCGCAGCATGACTGGCTCACTGTTATCCACCTTCACCGGAGCTTTAGCTGTTGCCCAACGCCACAAACAGTGCATTGTTATTACTCTAATCTCTCGCAGAACTAAAGGATTTTACAAGCAGTCATTATTCTTGTTTTAAATATAGGTTTTCAGAGAAAGAAAGGAGTCCAGCAAGACGACAGCAATTATAACAGCAAGAGCTTTCAAGCTTCACAATGTCTAGAGCGAGTCACTGAGCAAAAATAGTCCTCACTCTGGACTAGAGGAGTCAGCAGATATTCTAAATTGGAGCCGGTGCTCTATTTCTGACAGGAGAGCCTGGGAGCTTCTGTGCTTCCCTGCGTGGCAGCTTTATTTGGGAGAGGACTGGAGGGAGAGAGGGGAGGGGGAGAAAGAGAGAAAAAGGGCATTGTTTTTCTATCTGAGCTAAAAGGCTGCTTGCATCAGGCTAGTTTTCAAAGGTGTTATGTCACAGATTAGCACAATCTTGAAATACTCTCTCCAGCAACACTAGAAAAGCAAAGGGAATCAGAGCCATTTAAAAAAGCAAAACCCCATGAACTCAGGCCTTTCTCCCTGCTGTCCATGACAGGCAGTGGGCCCAGGAGAGCACCTCCTGCATCCTACCTGCTGTTTCTGTTCAGATCTCAGAGGTGGTCAGGCAAGGGCTCTGCTGCAGCTGTGCTCCAAGACCCTACAGGTACCAGGCAGCTTCTCCAACAAGTTTCAGAGCCTAGAAGTCTCGAAAAGAGAGGGCTATGTGCCTAATACGAATACACTATTACAACAATATCTTAGAGATGGGAAGTCATTCCCCAGTGTATCCTGTACACCAGCCACAGAACCAGGGATGGAACATGGGTGTGTCTGTTTTTACTGTCTGACCTACTCAGCCATCCCTTTAAGGGCTCCCTATCCACCCCTCTCCCCAGTCATGTCACAAGCAGTGTGCATAAAGCTAAGGGAAACCATTACATGTTTCTTAATAACTAACCTATTAAAGCTCCTTCTGTCAGTGGTTTCCATTTTGAGAGCATTCAGCTGAGGTGCAGCTCACACGCTGTGTGAAATCTGAGCAACAGCAGGTGGAACAGTTCTGAAAGACAACTCCTCACAGACAAACCTCTCCCCTGCACTGTGCTATCCATGCCACAAACACCAACACTGGCTCCCCTGTTTTCTAAGCAGTGAAGTAACAGGACAAAAAATCACTGCAAGAACAGAGCAATTAGTTTATAGCTCAGCTATTTCCCCATTTACAGCCTGTTCCAGCATGTCTACTCAGAAATCGTGGAATGACCCAATGGGTGTTGCAGGTCTCCTGTCCAGCTCATACACGTGCTACAGAGCTCTCTGCAGCTGCATGAAATGGGTGCAGAACTCTTAAAAACTAACCAGACATTTGGAATAACAGAAGAATTTAAATGCTTTGTTACACCTCTAATGTTTCTGTCCCAGAGAGCAGAAAGAACATCATTACACTGGTCATTGCTTGGGAGGGGGTAGCAAATGAGCCTGAATAAAAATAATAAACAGATGGAAAATATTCTCTTCCTGCATAGATCAAAACTGAATTTGTCACCCTTTTTAATGTCACACATAGGGAAGGGCAGCCTCAACCCTCTTTGCTCCCTGAATTAACAGGATGTGACAGATTTGAACTGTCCACCTCTCTCCCTCCTTCCTCCCCCTTCTCTTCACCTCTTCCCTTCCCCCGTTCTGCAGCATCACAAAGGATTTAAAAAGGAGCTACAAAGACATTCTTTTAGGCTCAGGCAATTCCAGTAACCTTAGAAACCCACAATAGTTGGGAGCCTGGCAGTTTGGCCACGGCAACGGGAAGCTTTGCTGTTCACTCACTGTCAGTGCTGCACCTTTCGCTCTGCTACCCAAAACCTGGCCGGGCTGGAGGGCAACATCCAGCATCACATGCAAAATGAACAGTACTAAATAAAAGGAACAGCTTGGTCCTGGGCTCATCCTGTTTCACCAGAGTCTGCTTAGTTACATCAGGGCCAAGCTGGAATAACTTCCATGAAAATCTGTGGAATTTTTCACTCAGGCAGATTCCT